ATACAATAGTAATAAAAATAATTATAATAATAAAATACAGGATTTTAAAATGATTTAAATATGCAGTTGTGCGCGGTAAAAAAAAATATGAATTCAAAAACAATATAATAAAATTATTATGATTTGTCAAGTGAGAAAAATCGCTTGTAAAAAATTACTGATTTTTCTTCGATCGTTTTAATATGAAGATCATTCTGGAGCTTTAGATTTGAAATGTATGGTGGAGCATTAGTTAGTTAACGTAAAGTGATATTTTGATATGTTTGGATTTTTTTAGATTCTATTTTTTTTTTTGCTGCACCCCATAGCTGAAGACCGTAATCATTATTCTTAAAAATAAATAAATAAACTCTTCACTAACCCTTTGAGAAGTTTTGTCTTGGAATTTTCCAGCCATGACCAAGTGGTCTTTGTGCATGATGGGTTTCGGCCTATTTCCACGCGTATCGTGTTTGTAGTACGAATGATTGTATACGGTGTCTTCAGTGAAGGGCGTTTTACACACAGCCGGTTGCTATATATTATATAATATTTATGTAAGTATTTAATCATAATAAATAAACAGCAAACTGAGGGTGGTTTGGTATATAATTTTAGGTATTTGAACCATTCGAATATATATATTAAGAAGTGGGTAATGGTTTGTAATGTAATGAAATAAAATATTTACAATATAATTCTTTACATTTGACTTAAGTGATATCAGGGGGTATACAAATCATTTGATGATAGGCATAAATTAAATTATAAATTATCCAAAAAAAAATTATAGATATATCTTATTGACATAATATACTATGATAGCTTTTACCAGGGRCACCTTCTATTCATGTTATATAGTTACACTTATTCGTATAGARGACTGTATAAATATTAAAATATATTATCTTAGATTAGAAGATACATTTAAAGTTGAAGAAAGTATYTATTGTTCAAAACGCTGAAGGTTCCAAATKTTAAAAGAATAAAAACATTTAAAGGATAAAACTCAAGAATTTTCAACTACCAATACTCGGCTGCAACACCATTGTCCTCTTTTTCCTTTACTGACCCGAATAATTGGGCCGTCGTAAACTCTCCCGATTGTATGGTAAACTTTCCCGATTTTTAAAACTAGTAAACTCTCCCGGGTAAATATTTTGTTTACCTGAAAGAAATGTGTAAACTCTCCCAAGTTATTTTAAATGTTATTGCTACCCTGCAGAGATTATGATTATAATTTTTATTATGMATTGTATTACCGTATGTCCGTATTTAATCTGTATTTATCTTGTGTTAAGTGTTAACCTGTATTTGTCATTTAAATATTTAATTACCGTTAAAGTATTTTTAATTTAAATATTTAAAACGATATCGACTCTAATGGCTCAACCAATTTTTAAGTATGTTTTAAGTCAACGAAACAGAGAAGTGTTGATTATGTGCTCGTATATTTTCCATAAGCAATCAACACTATCATCGACTGGTGAAGTCAAGTGGAAGTGTAATGTGAATAAAGCACTTATATATATATATATTATCGGTATGTAATTATTTAATTCAATTGTATGATTTTATACATATTACTACATTATAAATATATTATATTRTAGTTATATTATAATACATACATTTATACATGCATTTTTTCAGACARGGAAGTTGTATCAAGATCTAATTTAGAACACACTCACWCTTCTRATGAKCAAAAGGTACAACGTTTGTGCATAACGCAATCGGGAAAGCGAAAAGCAACGGAGAATATATCTGATGCTCCACGGAAAATATTGCGTAAAGTTTTGTAGGAAAGTAATAGTGACGCCATTGACACTAGTGACTTATTACTAATTAAAAGAAATATGTATAATGCAAGACGCAAAATATTTCCAGCATTACCCATAAATATTATTGAAGTTACGGACTGAATTATTTTAGTGTTACCTGCAACTGTGTAAAACGAATAATACCCCATACTCCCCAGCTAGCTTAGTAGTACTGAAGTAGACCCGGGAGAGTTTACATATTCTCTTCAGGTAGTACTGAACTAGACCCGGGAGAGTTTACATGTTCCCGTCAGGTAGTATTGGACTAAACCCTGGAGAGTTTACAATCGCCCGAATAATTAAAACATGATTGCGCCCCGATTCCTTTTTACCTGTTAAAACACGATTGAGCATCAAATGATATACTGTGTATACTGTATAAACTATGTATAATATTTTATGTTGTACATACATGAATACAATTAATATTTTCTATAATTTACACATACAGACACTCAAACTTATTATCTATTAATTTTTCAATTATAATGTAGCTTAATGAAATGATAAAAATATAAAACATTATCAATGATGTATAAAAAAATAGCAGCTACATTGTGCAAAATTACATCAAACAGTTAATAGTTTGGCACCTAGTCATAAAAATTACCGAGGTTGGTTTACACAAATCTCGCCGACGTGGCTGCACGTACTTGAATCGATTCTGAAAATTAATAACAATATAATTAAATTATCAATCCAAGATCTCATCCATTAAATATAWAGGTAATATATACAGGGTATATATTATAGTATAATATACAATATATACTATTTTTTTTCTTCAAAATTTCAGATTCATTTTGTTATAAAACTATATAAAGATGGATGGTTTTGGGTGGTGTTATAGGAAGAAAATGTCGCTTCTGACAACCAAACCACTATACATTCAATGGTTACCTACTTAGGTTCTATATATTACACATTTCCAATTATTTTTATATGTATTATCAGAATTTTTGATATCATTTATTAACCAATAATATTACCTATGTAACACTATTAATTTTAACGTAACTCTTGTCGTGATTTAAAATTTAAATGAATTACGTATAATTATTTATTTTTGTTATTTTATATTATTTTAGTATTATATTCTGTAAAACACAACAAGAATTACAAAAATTCAACAGAAATACAGATGAAGATGCTAAACGGATATGGGACAGAATTAGAACAGCAGTAGTCAACAGTGCCAATAATTGCTTAGGAATAGTTTAAAAAAAAATAAAAAAAGAATGGTTTAATGATAGGTGCAAGGAAGCAATAAACGGGAGAAACTGCATATGAGAAAAAACTATCAAGGACCCGAGTGACATAAATATAGAAAGTTATAAAAACACTAAAAAATAAACCAATAAAGTGATAAGATGTGAAAGGAGATTGGCAGAAAAGAGATCTATTGAGAAAACTGAAGAAAATAAAAATAAACAGAAGTTTCTTCTGCAAAACTGTCAGTATTAAGCGGGGATATAAACCACAGACTAGGATTTTAATATTTAGTASTAGTACTAGTATTTTAACMCTTGAATAGATTTTCAAAATGTGTTTTAAATTCTTCTACTATAGATTCCTATTTTTTGTCACTAACTCACCTAATTTATTTCTTAAAATCTTAGTTTGTTTTTATATGTAATTATATTTATTAAATAAAACACCCCCAACATCAATACACGAAGAAATAGTTATGAAATATAGTACGGTGGAACTATATATTGAAACTCCAACAAAACAGCAAGTCAATAACTTCATAAAGAAACTAAAAACAACAAATCACCCGGGGAAAGCAACGTAGTGGTGGAATCATTAAAAAATGGCGAAGAAATGATTACAAGTGAAATTTGGAAAATGGAATTAATGCTAGGAGATTGGAACACGATAATACTATGCCTAATATTTAAAAAAGGAAACACTTTAGACCCAAAAAATTAGAGAGGAATCTCATTATTAGATATTTGTTATAAGATATTGTCAACACTTCTTTTTAAAAGAATAGCGCCATATGCAGAGGTCATCATTGGGAGGTACCAATGGGGCTTTATAAAGGGGAAATACACTTCGACAACATATTATTTACCTTAAGACAAACAATTGAGAATTATTATGACTTCAACAAGGACCTATATATGGTATTTGTTGACTACAAACAGGCGTTAGTGTGAACAGACAGGAGCTGTGGAAAGCATTGATACTTTTTGGAATCCCACTAATTTACGTTAATTAGTTGAAATTGTGTAATGACAAGACGTTACTGAAAGTATATTTCTTTACTGAGATCAAAACTGCTGTGAAGAAAGTCAAAAACTACTTTTTACACTAGCTACTTTAGACCAGTAGTGACCTACGGATATGAAACATGGTCCACGATGAAAGATGACAATAGAAAACTTGCTGTATGGGAAAGAAAAATACTAAACATTATATATGGACCAATGTGTACAATGATAACCTAGGAATTTATGAAAAAAGACACGATGAAGAGTTGTGTGTGGTATCGGTGTGACCTTTTTTTAAAAGACTGAATATACTTACATATATAAGATATAATCGTCTAGAGTGGTTGTTACATTGTGTGGAGAGCGGTTGGAGATTTATTAAAAAATGTTCTGACAGGTAAAATAATAAAAAATGTCCACTTGGGAGATCAAGAACAATAAGATGGAAAACCACAGTAGAAAAGGAGACTGATAGAAGAGAATGCAATGCTACACTGGACTTTGGACAGGGAAAAATGAAGGCTTACTAGTGGCAGCCTAGCTCCTTGATGGACCATTAAGCTGTTAATGAAGACGATTATAGTATTATATTTTAATAGCGATACMTATGTAAGTACACTAAACATTGTTTATTTGTTTAATTAATCACATAAAATATTTATGTAGTTGTATAAAAAAATGTATTATTAGAACATTTGAAAATTATCATATGAATAGAAATAAAAATAGAAAATAGGAATACAGAGAKTAAGTAGTAGGTATATCTGTACTATTAAAAACATGATACCTTATATAACCTAACCTAACTTGATAGCTTTTACCAAGTAATTGCACTTTATTATGCWACTAATTTATTTTATTATAGGTACTAATGCCTACTATATTTAGGCATTTTGTTTGTAAATTAGTTATAAATAAAGACCTGGTTTTTGTGCAGTTAACATAATATAAAGAGCGTACAATTAATCGACTCAAATTTATTCCATATTATCAACAAGGGATTTCTAGAGCTATAGAAGACTTTCTAGTGCAACAAAAATGCGATTATAAAGAGCGTACAATTAAAATGCTGATATTTGTATTGAATAAGTACATAATACATTAAGTATAGAGGCATATTATATATAATAATTGTTATCTACATATAATGCATTTAATGTTAAATCATCGTTTGAATGACTCACAGAGAAATGGATCTATTGTATTGTACAATACCACTGGCTATATATACTATTACAATTTATATTGAGTTCTTTTAGAGTTACCTAACCTAACTACCAAATGTTAAATACCTAATTGTATCAAAAAATTAACAAAGAATTTCGTTGATCAAAAATGTTGGTGCAGCGATGATAAATCAATCACTCACAAATAAATTAATCTGGTAACCTTTCTAAATTTTTTGTTACCTTTAGTGTTTGACAGGTCTTTAATCTTTGAATTTCACTGTTTTTTTTTTCAACTTTCTGCAAACAGGCTTTAGCGATGGCRTTTGGTACTTTCGAACACTATAATTAGGAATTCAATTATGTAATTTTGTTAGTAACATACCACACAAATAAATTAGTTAAAATTGTGTTGTATTATTAAAGTATTATTGTGTTTTCCTACTTCATATGATCTCTGAAGACATTCTTTTACTTGAGACATCGCCGTGTTTGGTGTGAAATTTGGTAAGTTAAAAATATGTTGTTTTTAAATTTTAAGATTGTGTAAAAACTGTCATTTTATAAAAAAATGTAATTACATTTTTTATAATATTATTCATATGGTTGCTTAGTTTAAGCTATACYCATTTATTATTAGCCAACTATACTGAATACTAATAGTATTTGAATTTCAACTATTTTCAAGTAGATACCTATCATAACCATTGATGGATATTTTTCAGTCRAATGTATGACAAAATTTATATCTTAAGCAATTTTAGAAATTACACATACTCCTTAAACTTACTGTCTTAATTATGTCCTAGCCTAACTTCYCTAAACATGTATGTATATAATCAGTAGCATATATTGATGTGAAAGACAGAGTAGAGGTTAGAACCTCATAAAATAAAAGTAGGTATCTAATATATTACCAACCAATATTGGATAATACATATTACCATATGGTGATACAAACTTTTGTTAATGRAAATCCCCTTTYTACTGCAAATAACTTAGCAAATGATTTTCTCRAAAATATTAATCTCATACTATATGACTATTTTTATATAGTTTGTGATTTAAGTATCTAAATAAAATTATATATGTAGTTTCCAAGTTATTATCATTCAAACAAATTATTAGTCTTTAGTTCTTTAYTAATAGTATTATTGGTGTTATAGTCGAAAATGATCCGATCCATAACTTTTATGTTAACTAACAAATACTAATAAAAAAAATTAATAATTTTAGCCATGTGAAAGTATAAGTTTACCAGTGACTAGGGTTCTTCTACTGGCGGCCCTAAGAAATATGTACGGTCCATATTAAAATAAAATTGATTCTACAATAATTATATTATATTTGTACTTTTGTGAATCGCCTTTGTAGTTGATAAATTTATTCATCTAAAGAAACAAATTGTGCTTTTGAAAATTTTTTTTAACTTTACTTGTTAACTCTTTGCAACACAAGCAAAATTCCTAATACAAATATAATATGATATGATACATTTTAGGATACACATATTTTCAAAATGTTTTTACTCTGATTAGAGTACAAATATAACACAATTAATAAAGTAACACAATTCCTATATTGTTTAAAATATTAATGTTTTTATTTTTTTTTTATAAAACATAAAATAAAAAATCACATCAAAAAGCAATATTTATCTTCAATATTACCTCTGGTAAACATCTATAAWTATTTTATACATATAATATTATAAAATACATTAACAGCTAGCGTTTTTAGACCATACAGTAGTTTTAACATATAGGTATTTGAAAAAAAAAACAAATTTTGTTTCATACAAAACATTTCTTTCAGAAGTTGGAATTATCCATTGTTAAAAGAACATGTTTTCATTTAATTTGTTTAAAAAAAAACTTGTGGGCCCAGGTACAAAGTAAGAGTTTTAAATTTTCAAAAATCATAATAATTAAATTAAAAAATTACAATGATTGTCCGCAAATACAAAAAAAAAAAAAAACATTTTATAAAATTACGACAATTTTTCAAATACATGTTAATAACTTATTATTACGTGAAAATATAATACTGATTCTTTGAGATTAAATTTTTAAAACAAAATGTATTAAATAACTGTTATCCAAATTTCTTTTCTATTGGTTAACATAGTGTCACATTCTTACACAAATGTGGTAATGAAAAAAAAATTAATAAGTATAAAAATAAACAAATACACTAATACATAGGTATATTTAAAAAAAAAAAAACTGCTTTCCAGACTGAAATAAATTATGTTTTCAAGACTTATATGTATGATCTATTGAATTGTTAATGTAATAATTAAGTAGTTATTGTTATTTCAAACGATCRGTTGATGTTTGTTTATTTTTTTTTTAAGTAGGTAATTACTTAAACTAAATTAATACATAAATCGAGTAAAAATTATATTTAAAAATTTTTCAACCAATAATCAAAACACAATCATTTATAATTATAATGATTACAAAATGTGAATATCAATATTAGATCATTATTGTTTTAAAAATAACTTTATAGAAGTTTAATAATGAATAAGGTCTTAATTTTAAAATAATATTATAAATTATAATCATACTATGACCTACTAAATACATCACAGCACGATTTTTTTTTACAAATTGTTTTCGTTCGAAACGATTCAAAATAAAAATTCAAGAGAAAAATATATCTTACGATTTACTAATTAATTTTAGCCTCAGATTAAATGTATAGAAGCATATTTTATARATGAAGTACTGTCATTGAGTATTAGCACCAAATGAGATTACTAAATTAAGTATTGGGATACCTGTCTATACAAGTGTCAAGTCTGTGACTTTTAATAAAATGTGCAGTAATGTCACTTTGATGTTTTATTTGAAATGGTGTCTTAGAGACATTATCAGGTTGTAAAAAAA